GCGGGAAAGCTGCCCAGAACCCTAAACCAGAGGAGCTTCAAGGGGAGCCAAGACAACAAGAACACGAACAAACAGGCAATAGCAATAACACATCAATAGAAGAAGAAAGACCAAAGACAAGACATAAGAGGAATAAATAAGAGGAGAAATGGGACAAAAACACACAAACACCAACAACTAAAGACAACACACACAGCAAGAAGAGAAGAAACATAGAACATAAAAACACAACAGAAAGAAAAATAACTTGAGAGACCAAAGTAAAAAGGACAGAGGTGAAAACAACATGACCGAAAATAAACCACATTAAAAGACACAAAAAAAGCCGGTCATAGAAAACAAAAAAAAAAAAAAAACAAAAAAAAGAACAGAAAGAAAAATACAAAAATAATTCTGAGATCAAGTATCATAAGAAAACAAGAGAAACATTAATACATAGGAGAAAAAGATCTCTACAGGTCTGGCTATTGTGGGCAGAAAAAATAAAAAAAGGAGGATAGAAAAAGATAAGCCACAATGACAAACAAACTACAAAACAGAAAAGAATGAGAACAAGGAGCAGACACCGTACAAAAAAAACAAAGGCCTACCCATAAAGCGACAGCGAGCAAGGAGGAAACTCACCGAAAAAGAACAAAAAAGTGGCGACTCTCTCCACACAAATAAATAAAAAGCAACATCACAAAGGACAAAAACAATGCTGAAGACCTCCTGGTAACAAAAAAACAAACGAAAGAAAAAAAAAGACACAAAAAAGAAAATCATAAAACTAGAAATACCGGCGCCAAGGAACATTCTCGTCCAGGCCTCATACAGGTAAGGCGCCAGAACTTACCCCTGTCCTGGGATAATTACAGAAGAGGGGTGAATTCCTGGGAGAGGCGCGCACCACTGGCACCGCACCTGCTCCTCTCAGCAGCCGAGGTGGCCCTACCCGGAAGTGTACCTGCTTGTGGGGACAGCGGGGTGGGTGCATATATGACGGTGCATCTGAGCTCTTGGCTCCCACAGAATGCCCAGCGCTTTGGAAACCACATCCGCCAACTGCAGCTGGCACACTTCCGGGTAGGGCCCCACCTCCCGCTGCTGAGAGGACAGGGTGGTGCCAGGGTCCGCCTGCCAGATTCACCCCTCTGTATATCCCAGGACAGGGGTAAGTTCTGCCTGACCTATGAGGCCTCAATGACGAGAATGTTCCGGGAGGGACGGACTGAGACTGTGCGTTCCTGTACCAGCGAGTCCACAGCCTTTGTGCAGGCTATGGTGGAGAAGTCCCACGCGGTGAGTGTCCTCCGCCCCGCATGGGGGCCACGGTCGTCTGCCTCCTGTCCACCTGGAGGGTCAGGGCTACTCTTCACCCCTTTACTTCTGCCCCACAGAAAGCAGACCTGAGAGATCTCTTCCAGAAAGCTGCTAAGAAGCACCAGAATATGTACCGCCTGGCCATGACCGGGGCAGGGATCGACAGGCACCTCTTCTGCCTTTACTTGGTCTCCAAGTACCTGGGAGTCAGCTCTCCTTTCCTTGCTGAGGTCAGCACCGTTGTTGGGTGTGTCCTTTGTCCCACTGCCCTCCTACACCCAGGGCTTGGGCCATCTCATGAGGGAGCACGGCCTGTGTTCTGTCTGGCTGGCTCCCCTGAAGCTCCCTGGAGGGCTGGGCCAGCTTTCCCGCCCACACCCCAGCTGGGCCTGCGGTCCTGGGCCCAGCGGGAGCAACATCCTCTTCGTGTCGTTGGTGTTCTTGTGACAGGGAACAGACAAACGTATGATCTGTCAGGTGGTGACAGCACTACTGAGACTAGTGAGGCTGTGGCGGGGAGAGGCAGAGCAGAGTGGGGGCTGGGCAGCTCACACAAGCCTTATGTGGCATGTGCAAAGGGGACCACGGGGTGGTGGCCAGGGAGCTCCTGCACCCTCAGCAGAACAGTGCCTGGTTCAGAGTAGGTCGCAGACACCACCTGTCGGACAGGTGCTTTGGGCGTGGGGGTTGTAGGTCAGGCTCCTCTGGACATTCCCAGCTTTGGTTCTTCATGTGTCTACTCTCCCTGCAGGTGGTTTGACAAATCCTTCACTCTTATTTCCTTCAAGAATGGCCAGCTAGGTCTCAATGCAGAGCATGCGTGGGCAGATGCTCCCATCATTGGGCACCTCTGGGAGGTAATAGCCTTGCAGAGGGAACCTGCAGGGCAGGCTGGAGGGGATGAGGCCGGCCTCTCAGCCTCATCCTCTCCGTGCAGTTTGTCCTGGGCACAGACAGCTTCCACCTGGGCTACACGGAGACTGGGCACTGCCTGGGCAAACCAAACCCTGCGCTCCCACCTCCTACGCGGCTGCAGTGGGACATTCCAAAACAGGTGGGTTGGAAGCTCCCAGAGCAGATGTGAGACCACAAAGCAGCGGGCGGGTACAACCCCAACAAGGCCTGAGTCCCCCTGCTCCTCCTCCTCCCCCCCTGCTGGCCCCACCGCCTGACCCAGCCCTCGGGAAGGCACAGGGCACATCTCAGGATACCCGTAGAGTCCAAACTGGCTTCAGGGAGGACAGAGACCACCCACTGCCCGTGGGGCCATCTGTGTTTAGAGAAGGCCATGAGATGGGGGCGGCACTCACAGGCCCCTGGAGCATTTTCAGCACTTCCCTCTTCCCCACAAAGCTCAGCCCAGCCTCTGGGGGCTGATTCTCCCTCAGATTGTCTTTTGCATACCCTCCTCCTGAAGATGTCTTGGCCAGCTGTGCCCTTCCTCCACCAGCTAAATGTCATGCCTCCTAGACGTGACCCAGAGTCCTGCTTGGAGAGCCCTGCCCTCAGCTGACCCTTCCCATGTCTTGGCCGGCTGTGCCCTTCTTCCACCAGCTAAACTTCATGCCTCCTGGATGTGACCCAGAGTCCTGCTTGGAGAGCCCTGCCTGCAGCTGACCCTTCCCATGTCTTGGCAGTGCCAGGCGGTCATCGAGAGTTCCTACCAGGTGGCCAAGGCGCTGGCAGACGATGTGGAGCTGTACTGCTTCCAGTTCCTGCCCTTTGGCAAAGGCCTCATCAAGAAGTGCCGGACCAGCCCCGATGCCTTTGTGCAGATCGCACTGCAGCTGGCCACTTCCGGGTAGGGCCCCACCTCCCGCTGCTGAGAGGACAGGGTGGTGCCAGGGTCCGCCTGCCAGATTCACCCCTCTGTATATCCCAGGACAGGGGTAAGTTCTGCCTGACCTATGAGGCCTCAATGACGAGAATGTTCCGGGAGGGACGGACTGAGACTGTGCGTTCCTGTACCAGCGAGTCCACAGCCTTTGTGCAGGCTATGGTGGAGAAGTCCCACGCGGTGAGTGTCCTCCGCCCCGCATGGGGGCCACGGTCGTCTGCCTCCTGTCCACCTGGAGGGTCAGGGCTACTCTTCACCCCTTTACTTCTGCCCCACAGAAAGCAGACCTGAGAGATCTCTTCCAGAAAGCTGCTAAGAAGCACCAGAATATGTACCGCCTGGCCATGACCGGGGCAGGGATCGACAGGCACCTCTTCTGCCTTTACTTGGTCTCCAAGTACCTGGGAGTCAGCTCTCCTTTCCTTGCTGAGGTCAGCACCGTTGTTGGGTGTGTCCTTTGTCCCACTGCCCTCCTACACCCAGGGCTTGGGCCATCTCATGAGGGAGCACGGCCTGTGTTCTGTCTGGCTGGCTCCCCTGAAGCTCCCTGGAGGGCTGGGCCAGCTTTCCCGCCCACACCCCAGCTGGGCCTGCGGTCCTGGGCCCAGCGGGAGCAACATCCTCTTCGTGTCGTTGGTGTTCTTGTGACAGGGAACAGACAAACGTATGATCTGTCAGGTGGTGACAGCACTACTGAGACTAGTGAGGCTGTGGCGGGGAGAGGCAGAGCAGAGTGGGGGCTGGGCAGCTCACACAAGCCTTATGTGGCATGTGCAAAGGGGACCACGGGGTGGTGGCCAGGGAGCTCCTGCACCCTCAGCAGAACAGTGCCTGGTTCAGAGTAGGTCGCAGACACCACCTGTCGGACAGGTGCTTTGGGCGTGTGGCGTCTGACCAGCTGCGGCCTCCATTGCAGGTGCTCTCGGAACCCTGGCGTCTCTCCACCAGCCAGATCCCCCAATCCCAGATCCGCATGTTTGATCCAGAGCAGCACCCCAATCACCTGGGTGCTGGAGGTGGCTTTGGCCCTGTGAGTGCCCCTGAAGGGGGTGGGTGGGCAGCACCAGGGCCCTGAGGGTTTCAGTGGCGAGTGCAGGCTCTGAGGTCAGACCAGAGGCAGGAGCACCTTGCTTAGAGGAGAGCATAACCCCAGACCTGCACGGAAGCAGAATGTTAGCTGTGGACTCAGGCAGCCAGGTGCCTGGGACCCACCCATCCCAAATACCTCCCTGCTGGAGCATGACGTGCCTGGGGCTGTTTCCAGGGTACTGAGCAGTGCACTGGGTGCTTCTGAAGTCTGCTTATCCAAGAGAGTGCAGCTGTCTCCCACAGAAGCCTTCTCGTGGGCTAGTTTGTCAGAAGGCTAGAGAACTCTCTGGAGAGAGACGGTGTGATCTAGAGTATAGGCCCCCTGAGGGAAACTGGGAGGTCCTAGATCCCTTAGTGGGGTCTGGGCAGCATTCTTTGGTTTTCACGGTTTCCTGGGGGTGGTCCTCAGCAAAAATGCAGTGTCTAGGGCTGGGGCCCGTTCCTGCAACTCTTGTGGGAAGAACAAGTTCCACATCAGCTTGGTTTTCGGATCTTCAGGGTTTGAGTTCTGCCCTTCTCCTTCACCCTTCGTGTTGCCCTCAGGTAGCAGATGATGGCTATGGAGTTTCCTACATGATCGCGGGCGAGAACACGATCTTCTTCCACATCTCCAGCAAGTTCTCAAGCTCAGAGACGGTGAGTCTCCGGCCCCAGCTCAGGCCTGAGGAAGGGTGCCACCTGGGGCTGCCCAGGAACACAGGTGTCTTTGGCCGGGGAGGCGTCCCTGCTTGTGGGGACAGCGGGGTGGGTGCATATATGACGGTGCATCTGAGCTCTTGGCTCCCACAGAATGCCCAGCGCTTTGGAAACCACATCCGCCAAGCCCTGCTGGACCTCGCTGATCTTTTCCAAGTGCCCAAGACCGACAGCTGAAGGTTGGAGAAATACCAGCTGCCCTTTCATCCCCACACTGTGGAGGAAGGGACCTGTGGCGGCTCACAGGCATGAGGGGTGGCCGTGCACAGGTGGCCAGGCTCCAAGGACAGCTCTGGCAGCAGGTCCTCACTGGGCAGACGCTGCTCCCCGAGGGCCCGGTTGGTGGAGGTGGGGTTGGAGCAGGAAGGGAATTTTGATTTTTTTTTTTTTCTTGATAAGATACTAATAAAAATAAGGCTGTGTAATTTTCTCTCAGCCCTTAGGTACCTGTGTTTTGTTTGGGAACTAGGAGGCCCTCCCCCTCCCGCAGCTCAGACCACAGAGGTGGCAAGAGAAGGGCTGAAGCTGGAAGACTGTTCATGAGGGACTTGTGTGACCTGCTTTGAAATGTGTGACTCTGCTGAGTGGCGTAGGCTCTGAGATAGCTGTGTCCATGCCCACGTGTTTGCTTGGAATAAATTCTTGCTTTAGAACCTTCACCTGTTCCCTGGGGCCATTTCTGTTTGTCTGTCTGCTGGAGAGTGAGCCCACCTCCTCCCATGCAGGGGCATGTGTGAGGCACCCCTCTTGGCTGAGGCACAACCCTGCAGGGGCCCCGCAGCTGCTTCTCACCATGGAAAGGGACTGCAGGCCCAGGCCTGAAGTCTTGGGGTGTCTGTGAGAGGGCACACAGGATGATCTGTAGCAGCAGATGCTCCTTCATCGAGATTGGCTTGGCTACTAAAATCATGTTAAGAGTAAATGCAAAATAATTTTTCTTTTTTTTTGAGACGGAGTTTTGCTGTTGTCACCCAGGCTGGAGTGCAGTGGCACGATCTCAACTCACTACAACCTCTGCCTCCTGGGTTCAAGTGATTCACGTGCCTCAGCTTCCTGAGTAGCTGGGATTACAGGCACCGGCCACAATGCCCGGCTAATTTTTTGTATTTTTAGTAGAGACGGGGTTTCATCATGTTGGCCAGGCTGGTGTCGAACTCCTGACCTCAGGTGATCCACCTGCCTCGGCCTCCCAACATGCAGGGATTACAGGCGTGAGCCGCCGCGCCCGGCCATAAAAAATAATTTTTCCGGCCGGGCGCGGTGGCTCAAGCCTGTAATCCCAGCACTTTGGGAGGCCGAGACGGGTGGATCACGAGGTCAGGAGATCGAGACCATCCTGGCTAACCCCGTGAAACCCCGTCTCTACTAAAAAATAACAAAAAACTAGCCGGGCGATGTGGCGGACGCCTGTAGTCCCAGCTACTTGGGAGGCTGAGGCAGGAGAATGGCGTGAACCCGGGAGGCGGAGCTTGCAGTGAGCTGAGATCCGGCCACTGCACTCCAGCCTGGGCGACAGAGCAAGACTCCGTCTCAAAAAAAAAAAAAATAATAATAAGAATAATAATAATAATTTTTCCGAAAAGTGTAAGTAGGCCCTCGATTACTGCTGCTTGACTGAATCTAGATCTTGGGTGCTAAGAACTCAGAAGTGAATGTGGTTCAGTTAGATTCAGTTCTGGGCCTTCATTTAGGAACCAGTGTCTTCATCTGTTTTTAGTTTTTTCTTTTTTTTTTCCATGAGATGGGGTCTCACTATGTCGTCCAGGCTGGTCTCAAACTCCTGAGCTTAAGTGATCCTCCCACCTCAACTTTCCAAAGTGCTAGGATTTCAGGCGTGAGCCACCATGCCCGGCCAGGGACCAGTGTCTGCTGGACACCCACCATAGACTTGGCCCTGTGCTGGGGATTCAGTGGTAAACAAGGTCCTATTCCTGCCCATGTCGAATTCACTGCTGGGTGAGGAGGTGTGGTCAGGGGACACAGCAGCTGGCAGGAAACCAGGAGGCTTTTGGAATAATCCACTTACCAAGTACAGGCCTGGGTTGCTTAATGAAGGGGATACATTCTGAGAAGTGTATTATTAGGCGATTTTGTTGTGCAAACATTCTAGAGTGCGTTTACACAAACATAGATGGTGCAGCCTGCTACAGACCTGGCCTCTACTGCACACCCTGTTGCTCCTCGGTTACACACCATTACAGCATGTTACTGACTACTGTAGGCCACTGTAGTACAACGGGAAGTCTTTGTGTATCTAAACTTGTCTAAACATAGAAAAGATACAGTAAAAATGTTATATAAAAGATTAAAAATGGTACCCTAAAGGCCGGGCACTTTGGGAGGCCGAGGCAGGTGGATCACGAGGTCAGGAGATCGAGACCATCCTAACACGGTGAAACCCCGTCTCTACAAAAAATACAAAAAATTAGCTGGGCATGGTGTCGGGCGCCTGTAGTCCCAGTTACTTGGGAGACTGAGGCAGGAGAATGGCGTGAACCCGGGAGGCGGAGCTTGCAGTGAGGCGAGATCGTGCCACTGCACTCTAGCCTGGGCAACAGAGTGAGACTCTGTCTCAAAAAAAATAAAAATTAAAAGAAAAAATAAATAAATAAATAAATAATTTAAAAATAAATATAGGCCAGGCGCGGTGGCTCACGCCTGTAATCCCAGCACTTTGGGAGGCCGAAACGGGCAGATCACGAGGTCGGGAGATCGAGACCATCCTGGCTAACACGGTGAAACCCTGTCTCTACTAAAAAATACAAAAAATTAGCCAGGCGAGGTGGCGGGTGTCTGTAGTCCCAGCTATTCGGGAGGCTGAAGCAGAAGAATGGCGTAAACCCGGGAGGCGGAGCTTGCAGTGAGCTGAGATCCGGCCACTGCACTCCAGCCTGGGCGACAGAGTGAGACTCAAACAAACAAACAAACAAAAACACCTCTGATGACTGCTAGGCATGGTAGCTCACACCTATATCACTGTACTTTGGGAGGTCTTGAGCCCAGGAGTTCAAGACCAGCCTGGGTAGCATAGTGAGACCCCATTTCTACAAAAATTTTTTAAAAAACTTAGCCAGGTGTGGTGGCACTTGCCTGTGGCTCCAGCTACTCAGGAGGCTGAGTTGGGAGGATTACTTGAGCCTGAGAGATCGAGGCTGCCGTGAGCCATGATTGACCCACTGCATTCCAGCCTAGGTGACAGAGTGACACCCTGTCTTAAAAATAAATAAATAAACCTCTGGTGACAACCCACCAAACCCCAGTTAGTTCCCCCGTGTCCCATAGGTCTGCAGGTCTGCATTAATAAAAGCTAGCAGCCATAACATAAATCCTGAAACCTCATGGCTCAACCCAATAGATG